AGGCATGGCTGCTTAATGCATTTCATTCGTGTTCTTCTGCCTTGAGACTGCAAGTCCCACAAGGGCAGAAGCCACATCTACTTTTGCTAACTGTTGTACTTTTGTAACTGAGCATCCATGGATGATGTTCATTTAATATCTGTTAGTTAAAAATAAGACTAAATCTGTCATAAGACCAACCAAAGAAATGGAAAAGGTAATTGGACCCAAAACTTCAGCATACTTACAGACTGTTCTTTTGTTTTAGAGCATATGTACACCACCAGAGACAGAAAGAGAGTGAGAAAGAGGGAAAGTGAGTAATCATTCCAGGAGGGATGCTATGCTGCAATCCCTTCTCTTCCATTCTCCTCTCAGGATTTTGGGCCCACATGCACACCCAAAATGATTTTTTTATTATTAAATTTATTTCTTTTTGTGTATACATTCAATCGCATTGTTTAGCTTAAAATGTGAACATTTCAATATGTGAACATTTCTCCCCAGTCCTGTGGATCAAAATATCTTCAACCAATAACACCACACTTCCCCATCCTGTCAATGCTCTACCTCCGTATCCCTTCTCCAAATGTCCTTCGTTAGGCCTCCCTCCTCCACATACACCTCATCTGACATTCACACCCATCTCTTGTGTTTGTACAACCGTTACAATCAGTTTCAGTCATAGAGTGCAGACATTTGGTATATGTTAAGTGGGGACATACAATGTCTCTCCTTCATAGCCTGGCTTGCCTCACTCAGCAGTAAATCATCCATATTTTTCCACTTTCTGTCAAAAGCCAGGGTTTTGTTGGGTTTTATGGCTGAGTAGTATTTCATAGAGTATATGTGCCACAGTTTTTCACCCAGAATGATTTTCAAGCTACCAGGTCCACGACTTGAACTACTCAGTCAGCCATGTGGAATCCAGCTGCCTTAAACTCCATGTCGCCTGCTAGTCCCTTACAGACTTCATTTTATATGCATTTTAAAAATAAAAAGGTAAGAAATTAACCATGACAATGCCATGTTGCCCTCACTAGGTGCACGGTGAGTAAGGTGTCAGCATTCCACAACACAGAGAACGATGCTGCAGTCTCAGAGCCATGTGTACTCTCAGCCAACTGCGATGAATGGCATTCACCCATGCCCAGTTTTGTGGATTTCTGGGTTTTCTCTAGTTTTAGCTAAACAAATCCTTACAAAATAGGCATGTGGCTAAAAAAGATTACTGCAAAGATCTACAGACTGAAGATAATACTAAACTTTCATTACTAATACTATTTGTAACACCACTAATACCAGGAAAATGGCAAAGCTGACATTTCCTCTGCCCCTAATATGAATTCAGACCCAAAGCAATGGCTGCCAACTATATGCTACTTAACAGATACTTTAGAACAAACAAACACACTTTATTTTGTCTCTTTAAGGTACAGGTGGTATTTCCACGACAAGGAAAAAAAAATACTGCATTTTAAAGACAAAATGACATATTCAAGTTTTGAACATAACATCAGCTTTGCAGCTGGTGTATTGAAATGCTTGTATTTGGGCCCTGATATGATATAAGTGTGTAGACTAAAAAATTGTTCATATCTATACATTTAAACTTCCTAACAGAATTTCTTGTTTTAAAAAGATTTATTTAATTTTTTAAAATTTGCTATCACAAAATTTTGTAACTACAGTGAAGAGTGACCAAAGATTATGGGCCCATTTTTTTTTTTAAATATAAAAATGCAGCATCTTTCAATTAGTCCACAAGAACTGACTGGCTGACATCTGGAAAGATGGAAATTTATTAGCTGAATTTCAAAAGAGATTGGGATACAATTAGTGAATAGGACTGGAAAATTAGTATTATGCTTTACTAAGCTCAGCTCATGTCTTCTAAAGATACATGTTTTTGAGTTATGAAAATCATTAAAACCAAGTACTAAAATGCAGAATTTAGGATTCAGACTTAACACAAAAGCAAAATTTACAAACAAACAAACAATAAAAATGAAAGAATCACATTGCTTTCACCCAAAGTAAAATTATTAATGTGGACAAACAGGGTTTTACTATACCCCCTGTAATTAAAATTAAAATATTTTAAAATTAACTTTATTTTCATTCATTTTTGTTATTTTTCTACTTTTATTTATGTTTGTAATATATATAATAGGTTAGTAAAAAAGTAAATTTGTTTACCATTTGAAAATAAAGCCATATGCACTAGTAGGAATTCATGTTCAACAAAGTTTAGTGATTACTACTTTAGGTTCAGAAAGCATTTGAAAGATTTTTAATGTAAAGTAGTAAAACAAACATTTCAATTTTGGAAATAGATTCCTGAGGATAATATGCAGGGATCAAGAAGTTGGAAGTTAAAATAATTTTTTTTTTTTTTTTTTAGTTTGCTATACAGAATGTGCACTCACCAGAGAAAGACTGGAAGAGGTGGGAGTAGGGAGGAGAAAGTGAGAAATCACTCCCTGGAGGGATGGCTACACTACAATCCACTTGGGACTTTGGGTACACACACGAGACTTGAAATGCAAAGTTGGCAATATGGGATCCAGCTGCTTTAACCTCTATCCCACCTGCTGCCCACTCTTTTTAAATCTGTTACTATGCTCATAGCAGAGTGCATCCCATAAGCTCCCTCTGTGGATCTGTGGATCCTTTTGCAGGATGCAGGGTCTTTTTTTTAATAGAGGTTTTCTGCAGAGCAAGGCCTCCTAGGCTGACAGAGCCCCACAGAATGGCAAGGTGAGGCTACAGGAAGGGGACTTAGAGCAGTATTGGACCCCATGACTGTTGAGAAGCTTATTATTTATCTGTAGTCTAGGAAGCAGGCTGAAATTAAAATAAGTGCCTCTATTTTCTGTCATTCACATGTATAATGCTTAAAAGTTATAAAGGTCATTGAAAAAAATAACTTAATATGTCAGTATATAAAATGAAAAGTAAGATATTGCTTCCCTACTTTTGTCTACTTCAATGAATCCATTCTCCCTTGGTAATAATCACTGTTAATAGTTTGATTTCTTGACTTCCAGACCTTTTTCTGTGCATGTATACTTTTATGTGTGTGTGTGTGTGTATTCATATCTATGTAAATGTATATACGTACACCTGCACATTTAACTCATTGTTATAAAATTTTACTTTACAAAAAATCGGCTCATATTCATATTGTTCTGAAATGTGCTCCTTTCAGTTAACAATACACGATGGCCATCCTTCTAGGACAGTCTACGTGGATAGAGCCCCTTCTGCAGAGCTTCAGCAAACGCTGTCACACTGCTCTGCTCTCACACACGGGCGATGGCTTGACAGTTGCTGAGCCAGCTTCAGGGAATGCTTTCACACTTCCTTTACTGACGGACACTGGCAGTGTCTCTGATGCTTCGCTCCCACGACAAAGCAGCAGTGACATAACCACATATACATCTTCCCTTGTACACTTCATGAGCAGGACAAATTCCTGGAAACAGTTCTGGGGTGAAAGGGTAGGTGCATTTAAAATTTTGAAGGGTACTGCTAATTCTACTTCAGACAATAAGGTTCAGTCATTCATTCTGACCTTTTCTCATTAAGAGCCTCATTTTCCATTAAGATCCTCTTCTCAAAGATCCTCAGATTCAGGAAAATATCTCACAAAACAAACTCCTCGATTTGTATATGAGAACACAAAGGTTTAGAGGGTTAAGGCTATGAGTTCAAGATCTCAAAGCCTGGAAAGAGGTAAGTCACCATTCCCCAGCTGCTCAGTGAAGGAGTGCGTTACCACTGCGATCTGACTTGGGTTATCTGACTTCAGCTACTCTGTGTGCCCTACTAGAGACACTAACAGGTCGCAAGAGGACTAATCACCATCTCCTTTTCCTTGCCTACCCTCGGCAACAAAAGCAAAAAGAGGCAGTAAATCCCTAAAAGATACCATAGCCAGAGAGTGCAGAGGAGGAGTACCCTCCAGTGAGGTGGAAGGCGGGGATGGGGCTGGAGGGATCACAAGTTCAGCTGCATGAAGTGAGCGAGTGTAGTGGAAAAGCCTCTGACATGGGATGACCCGAGCGCAAAACCTTCCACAGCCTCAGTGGCTTGTATGAAAAGTTTCTTGGTTCTAAATATCTCCATGTGGCATCCAAAATGAATGCCAGCACTGAAACCAAATTCTGAAGAGAAATATCAGAAAAGAACTAACATCCCACAATGAAGAAACATCTTCAAAGAAGATGTTGTTATAAAAATACCACAAAAGTACTTTCCAACAAATTCCAGACCTAAAAGTAAAGCTTTAAAGTGAGGCTCCAAGTACAGAAGTCTTGAATCCCTTGCTCTGTGCCTGAAGAGGCCCATTTCAAGGAAGGCACTTCTAAGCAGATAGTACTGTCTTTACTCAATATGAACCAATTTTTTTGTGAAGGAAAATTATGTAAAAATGATAAAAGTGTACATGGATACATATATACATGTACATGCATACACACACAGAGACCTATAGGAAACAGCAACGGAAAAAGAAAAAAGGTGGCAACTGTTCCTCTTGAAAGTGGTCTAGAACACAGGCCAGCAAACTTTCTCTGCGAAAGGCCAGACAGTGAGTGTCTTGCACTTTGTAGGCCGTAAGGTCTGTGTTACTACTCACTTCTGCTGTAGTGTAAAAACAGCTGTCAACGATACACAAGTGAGTAAGCATGGTTGTGTTCTAGTGCAACTTCATGGACACTGAAATCTGGATTTCACATAGTTTTCATGAAATATTATCCCTGTTTTAATTTCTCCAACCATTTAAAAGTGCAAAACCCAATCTTAGCTTGTGGGCTGCACATAATCTTAGGTAGTGGGTTGGATTTAGCTTGTGGCGTAATTTGCTGACCTCTGGTACAGGGGCGCTTAATTCTTCACTGAACTAAACTTGAATGCTGGTGGAAAGATGGCACCCTCTGAGCCCAGCCCCTAGGAAAGTCAAATTAGAAAGCAGAAGGACAGACATATGTTATTCTGAAAGAGTTTCAGGTGTTTACCTTAAATCTCTTCTCTTGTTGAACTCCTCTGGTGGGATTGTCCAGGGCAGGCATTGAGGGAGACATTCTAGAACTTCAGGAGAGAAATCAGAGAAATCCACGCCATACTCTGTTAGTATTCCCTCGGTTTCAGGCTCAATTTCTCCAGCCTGCCCAAGACTCTTAGCCAGCTGCCTGTGGAAAAAACAGAGAGCGGACAATGGGTTAGCAAACAAGTGGAAGGCAGGCACCTGTCTCCTCTCTAAAAGTGAGGCATTAGGAAAGTCTTTAAAATTGTCTTCCCTTCAACTGGCAGGAATAGGATCACCAGTGAGACCAGACTCATTTGGTCCCACCAGTAAATGTGGGACCAAGCAGAAGAGACAACGGCACTTTTGTCCTGTTATACCCATGACTACAATGTAATTTTACCTTTGTGTTAGGAATTCTAAACAGGGGGACAGGGCCAGAGGCCTTCTTAGGCCTTGTTATGCATCCTGCTATTGTCCTTCATGGTGAGGTCAGAACTGATATTAATACTATTAGATTTGTTCTCTTGCAAATAACTTTAGAAACAATTCTGCTCAACCCCATGTGCTGTTAAATCATTAATTTCAGAGTGTCTATGTCTGTAAGTCATGCTCACTAGATTAGGTCCACTGTTAATATTTATTTCACATTTCTACTGTTTTTTACCTTTAAAATTTACAGATATTTTAATTGAACACAAAAAGTAATACCTGTTTACTATAAAGAATAACACAGAAATACAGTGAGAAGAAAATTAAAATTCTCTATAATTCAGGCACTCAGCACATTACCATTCATATTTTAGGGTACTGCCCCATAAAAATAAGATTGTACTTAATAGGACAGTCCTAGCATCATGAGTATAGTTCTGCCTTTTGAAAGGCCGATCTCACTCTGTACACATATAAAAATTGATAACCCTCTCTTCTCATAACATAGCTGTGACACATTCTATTAACAGATCGCGAGTCTTTAAGTTGTGGGCTGAATACAGATAGCCAACAGGAAATGCAAAACGAGACTTTGCAGAGGGCACTGAGGAGACCAAAATGGCTACTTCTGCTCTTGTACAGGTCTACTTTTCTACCAGGCTGATCTAAAAATCCACCCTCAGCTCTTTCTGCAATGAATTTACCTCAGCAGTAAGGGTGTCCTCTGGGATAACTCAATTTCTGTTTATTTTAATTTTCTAAATATTTTTTCTTCATTCATAATGAACTATGCGATGCATGAGAGAGATGAGTCCATCTATGAGGCCTGGTCATGCCATGACCCCTCTGCTCTAGTCCTCCAGACGTTCGGATCCTGTGCACTCACATTCATGTCCAGGCCAAGGATTTAAACTGTGATCATCATGTGGGATCTGGCTCCAATCTCTCTATTTTTTTAATTGCCAGAGGATACATGAGCTCACCAGAAAGGGACAGAGAGAGACAAAGCTTTCTCCAATATGGTCACACCACAATCTCTTCTTTTTTCTCTATTCTGCCCAGATTTTGGACATGTATGCACATGTGTCTTGGGTGTTTATTAAACCACTGGTTTGAAAACTGAACTGTGCAATAAGCTATATGGGATCCGGTTTCCTTAGCTACTAGGCTACAGGGTCAGCCCAGTCTGGCTTCTCTTGAGCAGCAGCCATAGAGCCAGCCTAAGGGGCTACTTGAGTCTTTATTTCTTCCTTTTCAAATTTTTTTTCAAAGAGTCAGGGCGTGCACATGCTTGCCAGAGAGAGACAGTGGTATGGTGTGAGGGGAAGAGGGAGATACAGGCGTATACACACGTATCTGGTGTGTTTCCCAAGCTGTCAGGTCCAGGACTCAAACTGCAGAGTTAGTCATGTGGGATCCAGCTACATACCCACCACATCAAGGCTGGTCCAGGGGATACTTCATTTCTATGATGAAGATTCTGTTTCCTATGTCAGGGTAGTGGCCTGACTGCCAGAGTCCTTAAGTACACAGAGGTCAAAGAGATTTAGGGGCATGGTTGCTTCATACTGGACTTTTAACAAATTCTGGTCAGCCTCATTACTAGAATGTGGCCATGGAGGCAGCAGGAGGCCTCACTTTTCACTGCTCAGCTGACATCTATGCACACACCTGCCCTCCAGCCTATGATCTCAGTAGCCTGTGGGTTGACCTGGGGGCTCTTCATATAAAGTGTGGGCTCAGACCAATACCTTCTCCTCAACCCTGGCTGGATAACTGCCAGAAAGTACAACAAAAAGCCAAAGACAACAAAAATATGACAGAGAAACTAACATAATGCTATCCAGAAAATCTTCAATTATTTGGAAATTATATACTCATGGGTTAAAGAAGATATGAAATGAGGAAACCAGCAGTTAGCATGATGGCTATGTCGCTGGACTCCCACGTAGTCGACCGCGGTTTGCATCCAGGACCCAGTGGCTTAAAACTCACGCTGGGCGCGTGTGCATGTGTGCCCAAGATCCCGAGAGGAGAATGGAGGAGAAGGGATTGCGGCGTGGTCATCCCCCCTGGGGGGTGATTTCTCACTTTCTGTCTCTATGTCTCTCTCTGTCTGGCGAGCACACGCACCCTATAGCAAAAACCTCTCAAAAAAAAAAAAAAGAAAAGAAAAGAAATGAAATGAGAATTAGGAAATATTTTGAATTGAATGAAAATGTAATATTGGGTTATTGGAAAAGCCATGATGCATTTTTGCATAGAAAAACATAGAAAAATACATCATGACTTCACTGACGACACAATATATTGATACTCGTGAGAAGCAATTAAAGCAGTGCTTTGAGGAAATTTACAGAAAAGTGCTCATATTAGAAAAGTGAATGATCTAAGCTTCTTCCTTAAAGAACTAAAAGAAGAAGAACAAATTAGATCCCAGATAAACAGAAGGAAAGAAACAATAAGGAAACACGAATCAATGGATAGTGGGAATAGCAGATGGTATAATGTTGCTGGACTCCCACATAGTCAACTGTGGTTAGAGTCCCAAAGCTGGCGGCTTAAAACTCATGCCAGGCAAGTGTATGTGCATGTCAAAAATTCCAAGATGTGACTAGAGGAGAAGTAATTGTGGCACGGCCATCCCCTGGGGGGATGGGGTGATTTCTTGCTTTCTGCCTCTCTGGCAAGCATGTGTACCCTACAGCAAAAATCTCTCTAAAAAAAAAAAAAAATTCAATGGATAGCAAACAAACAAACAGGCTAGCCATGGTGGTGCAGTAGTAGCCTGCACCTCCACAGTGCTGGATCTATAAGGAAGATCAGGAGTTCAATTTCCAGGTCAATCTGAACAGGCCAGGTCTGTGCACATTTGTCTGTGACGCTGGCTAGCTAGCAAGGCTGGGGGAGGATTGTGGCATGAGACCACACTGAGGATGCCTCTTTCTCTCTGTCTCTCAGACAAATGAACTATAAAAGAAAAGGATGACAAAGGAAAAATCAATAAACCAAAAATGTATTATTTGAAAAGAATAAAACAGATGAATTTCTAGCCTCACTGAACCAACCAAGGTGGGGTGGGGAGGAAGGAGAGCAAAACAACTTACCAATATAGGGAATTTTTAAAAAGTAAACATAGACATCATTATCATCTATCCTAAAGTTGTTAAAATGGTACATGATAATTAACCCAATAACATCTTTGATGAAATGGGTGAATTCCTTCAAAGATACAAACTGCTTAGGATTATTCAAGAAGAAATTAATACTTGAATATTCCTATATCTACTTTAAAAAGTTGAATTCAGTTTAAAACCTTCCCACAAAACAAGCAAACAAACAAAACTCCAGACCAGATAGCTTCACTGATGAATTCTACCAAATGTTAAATAAAGAATTATTACCAATTCTATATACATTTTTCCATAATACTGTGGATAGGCTACTTTCCCACTAGCTTCATGAAACCAGCATTACCTTAATACCCAAATCAAAGAACTCATGACATCAGTACCTCTCATGAACAGATTTAAAATTCTTACAACGTATTAGCAACAGAATTCAGTAATACATAAAAAGGATAATGTAATATCACCAAGGAATGCAAGATTTGTTCAACATTCAAAAATCAATCAATAAAACTTGCTGTAATAACAATGAATGAACACATAAAACATATAATCATCTAAATAGATCAAGAAAAAACATTTGGCAATATTTTGGCAACCATTCATGACAAAAGCTCTCTGTATGTGAGCCATGGGCAAGAACTTTCTCAGCTTGACCAAAGGCCTCTATGAAAGCCCTGAAGCTGATACCAAGCACAACAGTGAAAGGCTATGTGCTTTCTCTTGGTTCAGGCAGAAGACAAAGGTGCTCATTCTCACCAAAACCATTTAACATTGTACTTGAGGGCCTAGTAAATGGCATAGAGTGAGAAGGAGGAGAGGCAGATAAGAAAGGAAGGACTGTGCATTCCATGTAAGTAGACAGTGGACCACAATTCCCGTGACAGAAGTGACAGCCTCCTACTCCCTGTAAAACCACCCCTCTCCCTCTGTAAAAACCAAAAGCCAGTATAGTGTATATGACTTGAACTTGGCCTCAACTCAAGACTCTCAATGTGAAGACAATGACAAACAGGAAGTTAGGGTTTATTCATGGCAGCTAGGCTGGTTTCTAGAGACAGCAGAGGTGGTGGTAGTGTGCAGTAGAAATGGTGTCCTGCAAGAGCTGTGCTTCAGAACCATTGGCTTCATGGCCAAACTAACCCTGATAAAAGTGGATGGTTGGGCTTCTGTTCTTGGCTCTCCAAAACTGCCTTGGCTCACATCTTTTTCAGGTCATTCAAGCCTCTCACTGTAGTGAGCCTTTTAATAGCCTTCCAATAAATTCCTTTTCCAACCAGCATTGGTTTTTCTTGCTTGCAACCATGAACCCAGACAGTTAAGGACTCAGGTACCATTAACTTTCAAAATGCTAACTAATTTTCAAAATGACTTAATTATCCCCTGTGTTCACTAGAATGAAGTTCTCATTGAAGATTTAGGAAACCTACTATCACTGTCTTTGAAGTTTGGAACATAGGAATTGAACACTATAGGTCTAGAGTGTCTACTTATAACAATGCTGTTTAGCTTAAACAAAAGAACTTTATCTTGGTGACCACAGGTAATTTAAAAACTAAGTAAAAAAGTAAACATAGACATCATTATCATCTATCCTAAAGTTGTT